CTTTGAGCTAAAAGACAAGAAAACGTTGAGGAAACACAGCTGCACAATCGCTGGATGTCAGGAAGCCAACATCTCACTGCACGGCCTTTCAAGTGTTCTGGTCTTCCCTCTGGTGTCCTCCGGCTGCTCTGGTTCAACTCTGGGTGATGAAGTTGCAGAGTTTCCTGATGGACTGATAACTTTGCTTGTGGCTAAAGTAAACACTTACTAATGCTAACAGTAACATTAGCTGCTTTAGCTCTAGTTAGCTCGGTTAGCCGTGCAGCTAGTCGTCGTATCAGCTGACTCTGCTCGGTCCAAAGCTAACTGAACTAAATAGCTAACGGCGGCTAAACATCAGAGGGAAGACCAGAAAATATTTCCTCCACAAAACATCACCAAAATCAGTATATTAAGTTGTTTTTGTACAGCGATCAGTGAGCCCCGACCCCCAGAAACAACCCGGTCTGGTGACCTCTATCGCTGCGGTGCTCAGAAGCACTGGGTGCTCCCCAGGGCAGGCTTCTGGAAGTTGGCCAATCAAAAGAAAATGGGCTTTTAAGGAGGGGGGGTTAAAAAAAATTTTTTTCTATAGAGGATGAAATGAGGGGCTGCAAAGGGGCCAGTATTCTAAGGCTGTATTCGAAACCGCCTACTATACTAGTAGTACATACTGATTTGGCCTAAATGTAGTATGCAGTATGCAAACAAAAGCCAAATCTGCAGTATGCCAAAAATACCCGGATGGTGTACTGATTCAGAAAAAAATCTGATTCAGACCAGTGTACCTCGGACTCCCATAAATGCAAAGTACTAGAGTTGTAACAACAACCGGTCTGTTGTGTACAGGACAACAACGAAACTTGTTTTACAATTTTCGTACGCCGTTTCATCACTAAATCCACTTCTAACAAGTTTTGAGGCGAGAAATCAACTGTATAGATTTCAAATATCGACAGTTTTAGAAAAAATGTTGGCGAATTGAAAATGTGCTCGAAGGTTTTCAGATTTGAGAAGCTATGCAAGTGCGTAGTTAACGTTTTAGCTTAAATCAAGAGACATCTGGCTCGTGATGGACAGGCTTGTATAACTTAGAAGCACTGTGATAAAAAATAAACAACAGAAGTAGTTTTAAAAGGGGACTCTTGTTGCTTTATTATTAGCATTATTCTGATTAGACATTACATTGTTAGTGTAATGTTAGAGTTGTGCTTACAGTACTTGCTTTTTATTTCACATAATTCTTATTTATGCACCAAGATACCAAAGCAAACATCTGGTACAGATCAACTGTAGCCTTGTTCTCTTTACATAAGATTTTTTTAAAAGGTAGTTTTATTTTAATTTTTTTAAGTGGTAGTGACATTTAAATTCCTCCTATTGTTCCTATTTTAAAAAACCGGCTTAGCCAATTTAACAGTTTCATACTACATACTGTATCCTCCAGTATGTAAAACTCCGAATACAGCCTAACATAAAAAAAAATGTTGAGCAGTGAATCATGAAAACATAATTAAACAATGGGACCTTTATAACCAGATAATGGGACTTTTTCAACTAAATAATGAAACCTTTTAAACCCTGATGATGGGACCGTTTGGCTTAAATGGTGGGACTTTTTTTAACCATAATTATGAGACATTTTCAACAAAATGGGGGGAGATTTTAATAACAATATGGAACTGACTTATGATGCTAATCTTGGGAATACTTCCTTGTCATAGAAATCTGTATTTTTAACCCTAACTAACACGACTATTTAAATCTCACTTGACTTTTTAAAGTAAATTGAATGGAACTTGTTGAACCTTTAAAGGGAATTGCTTAAACCCCATGAGACCTAACGTTTGCATTTAAGTTTTGTCTAACAGAAAAATTATTGTTGGTTAAAACCTTCTAGTAAAAAAGCAGGAAACATTTTATTAATGGTTTTGGTCTCACCAGCTGGCGGAGCTGTTCGTTCTCTTCTGTCAGGCTGGTTGTCTTCTGGACTTCGGCATCAAAACTCAGAAGAACTGGCTGGGGTGAAAACCAGTTATGGACTGGAAACCAGCAAATCCACAGTTTAAATGACACAGAGGATCAGAATGTCATCTCCACTATTAAATCTAACTACAAACGGGACATTACACTGTGAACTCGTAAAAGGATATGCATACACTGGAAGAGGACAGACAGGAAGTTATGCAGTGAAACCAGGAACGTGTCAGCCCACTGGCGCGAGAAGTATGGAGAGAAGGCGGCGTTCTGCTCAGGGGCGGGGATAAATGGCAGGATGAACCAGTCACGCCACTCGGCCTGACCCTGCAGCTCCAGCGCCTGCTTCTGGAAGAACTCCTGGGTCTTCTCCAGGTTTCCTTTCTAGGAGGATGAAAGAAGAGATTTTAACCGTTGCTCTGTTTCAGATTTGTACTGTCTGGTATGTTGGATTTCTCTACAGGGTGTTACCTGGATGGTGTTGATGACGTAGTATCTGTACAGGCTGGTTCTCAGTTTGTTGACTGTGGATCTGTAAACATCCTCCAGTCTGCAGAACAGACGTCTGTCCAAGTAAAGCCAGTACTCCTTCAGACCAAACAGGTCGAAGCTCTGGACAAACTGCTGCAGCTGATCGATGATCTTATCCACCTGCAGACGGGGACGTTTTAGAGTAACGACAAACCTAAAAATCATCCCTTTTAAGAAGAATAAGTCGTACCCTGAAGCCTTTTTCCTTGTCGGCTTTGATCTCGCTGTCCAGGTGTTTCAGAGTGCCGGTGAAGCCCCGATACATCAGATACTCTTTCACGTGTTCGTCTGTCCTCTCCACTGCCGACCCCATGGTGACCTCTGACCCTGTGAGTTATACAATATGGTTTTCCTGTGAAGTTAACACCATCCATCCATCCATCCATCCATGTTCAACCAAGCAGAAAAAATATCTTGTTGGCGTGTCTTCTGTAATCCTTCAGTGAAACAGTGGTCTCCTGAGGCAAGATCAATTTGGCAGTGGTGGCCTAAAGGCTGAATCGAATGCCATTTTTTCTCTCTCTCTCTCTCGGAGTCTAGGTTCTGCTCGAGCTTAAAAGGGAGCTTTTCCTTGCCACTGTGGCCAGGTGCTTACTCATGGAAGGAATTGTTGGGTCTCTGTTAATAATATTACAAAGAGTACATTACATTTATTCATTTAGTTGACGCTTTTATCCAAAGCGACTTACACTTGCTATACATGTCAGAGGTCGCACGCCTCTGGAGCAACGAGGGGTTAAGTGACTCGCTCAGGGACACAGTGGTGGATGGGTCACAGTGGGGGATTGAACCCGGGTCTCTCCCCACCCACAGTCTAGACCTGCTCTGTCTGAAAAGTGCGTTGCGATAACTTCTATTCTCCCTATTCTTTACGGTATTGGCTGATTTCTTCACTTGTTTCAGGAAGTTTTTAGGACTACACTGAAATAGAAATGACTTGACATTTTTGATCATGTGAAAAGATAAATTAAAAAAAAAAGATATTTTGGGAGAAAATATGTTCAACCTTCAGAGAGATCCTTCTGGAAAGTGAAATATTTTATCTTGGCAGATAGAAAAAAACAGGCAGAGTTGTTGTTGTTGTTGTTGTTGTTGTTGTTGTTGCTGACAACAACACTTGTCATCAACTAAAAGCTGCATTCAACTGAACCTCCCAGGCAATGGCTGGACATATAAAGGAAAATACTTGACTTTTCCCCCTCAAGGACTGGAGCAGGAAAATGGATCTTCTTCGCTGCAAACAAGGATGCTCTCATATTTGGATAAAACTAAGGACACTATGTCAGTAAGAAATGTGGCCCACTTGCTTCACCTGTATTGTTGAGGCTGCCTTGTCTTTCGTGAAACCCCTTAACGTTGTTCTAAATATCAAAAATACACCTAACATTGCAATCACCAATACCGAACAAAATGTCATAAATAACCAATAAAAATCTTTTACACATCATCACATATTTATACCAGCCCACCGTAAAAAGCTTCATCTAACGACTACATCTATTGATTGGTGACTTCACCCTGTGTAACAGCCCAACTGTCTTTGGTCCCAACACACTTCAGATTCGACCCTGAAGTACACAGTGTGCACAGAGCAGTGTTAGCATATCGTGCTTTTCAGCAGTTCAACTGTGAAACGGCTCTACATACATAAAATGTGCTCTCTCTGGATCTAACGGTTTCTTTAGTGAATCATTTTGATTCCTTCCGCTCTCGGGTTGCAATAAAACAACCATCAAGCCAAACTCGATTCAGAAATCTCACCAAACTGGACACGTGTCTAATGAAGGAAAAGACTGCACTGACTCTAACATACACCAGCAAACACCAAACGCTGCTAAATAAGATCATTCAAGATATAAAATATTAAAGGTACACATTTTGAAGTGTGACAGAAGTTCCTGTTTAATTTTACTTTCAGCAACGAACGACCTGGTCAAATGTTTTATATTCTCACGAATATATGAAACACTTAAAGGGTTCTACATGCAGAGTTAACATGTTAATCGCGTTTATACATGAAAGGCATTCAGTCATGGCTTACTGTTTACGTGCCTCAGTGGATAATCAAGATTAGTTTGAATTGAGCGAATTTTTCCTGGAGTTCGGTGTCCTGGTGCGAGACAACAACACGTACCGCCTCGAAGCAAAACCTTCAACCCGCGAAAGCGGCTTCAACGTTACTTAGATCCATGTACTACCCGGAGCACGCAGGCTGATTCTGAATGTGATAAAATAGAAAATACTTACAGCAACAACGACAAAACTCTCTTCCTGTTGTGTTTGAGAGTCATGTGACGAGTTCATGTGACGTATACAGCCTGTGTGAACTCGGAGCGCCCTCTGCAGGCCACTACATTTTGAGCGTAAACCCCAAATGAAATGTATTGCACTTTATTTTAATTAGGAAATGTTTAATTCACAAATTAATTTAAAAACAAATTCCCATGTTTAACATTTGTTTTATTCATTTATTTGTACTTTTCATATTTACAGTTTTTGGTCCTGTTAAAAAAATATAGATTTACACATATCAAATTCGATTTTATTGATTGTGTCTTCCAACTACAACTGTTAAAAACTCCTGTTATGACAAAGTTTTTGAGAAAAAAAAAACCTTGGCAGAGGTGATGTAACTTGCTACTTCCTCTGTCCGGGAGATATTTTGTTACTCATTCACATATGTCACCCCTGCAAACACTATTTAGAAAAAAATATGTTGCTGATACAAAGTGAACTTTCTGCACTGCCAAACTAAAGCACCATTTTTAGTTTTGCATATTACAGTAACATAAATGCAGATTCTTACTTTTCTTTAAATTGACATTTTACAACACGTTAGTTAACACGTTTATCTGCTTTTTTAAGTTATATACATACACTGCTGTTTACACATGATTTCTTATTCAAAGCGCCAATATTCAACATAAACAGGAATCTTAAAATGTTATCTTACCATTAGCTTTCATTTAAAGTTCATGTTGAAAACGTTGTGAAGAAGCGGAAACTAAGGTTTACTTTCGAAATAACGTTGGTTTTAACATAACCAGGAAAGAACTTGTGCAGGCTACAAGTTTTAGACTACGGTGATGTCGTTTACATACATGCTGCCTCTACATATTTCCACCTACATATTTAATTTGTATATTTTTGTGTACATGGCCATGCCAGCATTTATGTAATATATGTAATACAATGAAACAGAGTTGCGTCAGTTTTCCTCTCAGTTCCAGTAAATAAACAAACAACAAAAAAAGGGTTAGGGTTAGGTATAACTTGAACTACTACCAGTGTAAACAGCCCAACTTTAAGTTATCCTATTTGGTGGTTCACAAAACATTTATAATTATGAATAGAAGTGCTTTAAGCTAATTAAAAAAACTAAAGAAGAAAATGAAAAATATGAAAAATACTTCATTTGCACAATTCATAGCAATGAAATACTTAAAAAACAAAACAAAGTTGGGGCGTCACTATGGTAACATATGGTAAACAAAAAGTGGAGGTAGAACTCTGCTGCTATGCACAGTGTTACTATGACAACAGGTAAACAAGCAGCTGAAAGGGCAGGAGAGAAACTGTCAGCGAGGAGAAAGCAAAGAGCAGAGGAGATGAACAAGGAGGGTTTCTCAGAGGAGGAGGAGAGGAGGAGTGTTGAAGAGGAGGAATATGAGGAGTTGATGAGGAAGGCTGCTTCCTCCTCTGCTTCCAGAAGAAAACCTGCACCATCATCCAAACAACAAATCATCCCCAAAATTCCAGAGGCAGTGGATGACTTCCTGAGGAACTTCCTCCGGCGGGCCGGTCTGAGCCGGACTCTGAACAGCTTCGAGGCAGAGTGGTACGGCTCAGCTCAGAATCTCCTGAGAGAAACTCTGCCGATGGAAGTGACAGGCGTCTTCTTCATCCCTGACGCTCTCACACACAGGCAGCTCCTCCAGAGCGAGCTGGAGACGGTCCGCAGAGAGACGGAGCTGCTCAGAAAGGAGCTGCTGATGGCAGGAGAGAGCCTGGTGAGGACGCAGAGGGAGAGGGATTTCCACCGGCTACAGTACCGACGAGTCGCTGAGGACAAAAACAGGCTGATCGAGGACTTCAAACAGCTGAAGAAACACCTGGAGTCCTACGAGCCGGTGCTGAGGCAGCTGGACGACAAATATCAAGCAGCCCTGAGGCAGAAAATGCTCATCAGTTTAAGAAAGGACAGAGTGCAAAACACCAGAGATGCAAGAGTGAATCAGGAAACAGTCCAAATCAAGAAAGAGAACGTCAAAAGGAGCAGTGCTGATAAATTACCAGCAAAGAGCACCACAGCCAGACATCCAAAGGACTCAGAGTTTCCCGTCTGCAGCAGGCTGGTGAACCCTCACATGACTCAGGGGAATTTTCTAAAATGGAAAAACCCTGGTTCCTTCAGCCTGTCCTGCTCCATCAGAGCCCACAAGCTTCCCATCAGCTGCATCGCCCTCCATCCCCGAAAACGGATCCTCGCCTCCGCCTGTGACGACCGCAGCTGGAGGTTGTGGGAGCTGCCAGCCAACGGAGAGAAGGTAAGAGAAATGCATTCACGGATTAAAATGTAGAAAGAAAATGTCAAGACACGAGACAAGGTAAAAATGATTTTAAAAAGAGAGAAGTTACAATCTGGGATTAATTCAAGAAAATTAACGTTAGTTGAGCTACAAAAAAACCCTGCTGTAAGATGACATGACATGAGGTTAGAGGTAACAGACAGGATGTCTTCTATCTGTGAAAGGTGAAACAAGGTGTGGTGACAGGCAGTGCAATAAAAATGGTAAGATGTTTGAAAATGACATGCTAAATTATCAAGAAATTTATAAAGGTGAGATTAAATGATGTAAATTAAATGATAAAATGAGACAAACAAGCTTAAGATAAAATAAAATGACATATGACAAGGTGAGATGGTGATGAGACAAAGAAGAGACGAAAAGACATTTAAATATGAAACAAGACTTGGTAAGAAGAGACATGACATAAAATACTATCCAATGAAATGAGATTAGATGAGAAGGGCGTCATTTTGTGTTGAAAAGTGGCGGGGACATGAGGGCTCAGATTAGGGGTGTGAGGATACATTTGGGTCATGAGACGTGACGATGCACAAGAACAAGACAAGAAGATTTTTAGCACTGTTAAGATTAAATATTTGATGCTGAAATATATGTGTGGGGGGTCTGGGAGTCCTCCCCCTGAAGATGTTGAGCATTAAACTCTTCATTTCTGTAGTAATCAGTAGTTGTTTTTGGTCGCTTAAGTTACTTCCTTGGACAATGCACGTGTTTCTTCTAGATTTAAATTGCATTGCATGTTTTCTTATTGCACAAATAAAAATTCTCAAAGCAATTCCATTTGTTATTTAACATTTCTTGTTGCAAGCTATTTTTTTTAGAACATTTTTAACAAATGCTTTCAAAAAGTGTCGGGGACAAAATCAGCCAATTCAAAAAGTGGTGGGGACATGTCCCCAGCGTCTCCAGTGTAACTGACACCTATGACAAAAAGATTTAAAAGACAATTAATTTAAAAAGATTTTTAAATAGCAAACCAAGATGAAACAAGACACTATGAGATGAAATATGAGATACGAGAAAATGTCCAATGAAATGAGATATTAGATGAGAGGCAAACAAATGACTTCAGATGAGACAGGATAAATCAATTTCAAAACTAGAAAGTATTTGTTATAATATAAGTCAAACAGAAATGAGAGTCGAAGATACTATTAGATAACACGACATGAGACAAGAACAGATACAATACAAAGAAATGTGATGAGATTTAATCAACTGAGAAAATATTAGTATGAGATGAGTTAGTAGATAGTATAAATGAGATAAGATACTAAAGAAGAGATATACATCAGAGGCAATGGGAGATAATTAATATCTAATAAAAACACTAGTTGGGATGTATGGGATGAAATGAGAAAAGACGAGATACTACATGATAAGTTACGAGATGAGATAGGATGAGACACAATGAGTTAAAAGATCAGTTACAAAATGTAAGGTGTAAGATGAGGTAAGATGATCATATTTGAGATGAGATGATGCTAAATTAGGCAAAATGTGTAAATATAGATGCAGGGCCAGCAAAATGAGATGAAATAAAACAAACTGAGATAAATTAGGACGACGTCCTACATGGAATGGTAAAAGAATGAGATATGGTGGAGTTCAATGATGAGACCATTAAAACGACTTGTTATAAAATGAGAAAGCGAGGCAAGTCAGTAAGATCATAACGTTTTGTTGACAGGTGTGGTTCACTCTGATTGGCTGGTGTAGTAAAATGTGTGATGTCATGTTATATGTGTTACCAGGTTGGTCAGATGTTGCTGACAGGTGAGGGTCACTCTGATTGGCTGTCTGGCTGCAGTTTTCATCCTGATGGAGCAAAGCTGGCAACAACTAGTGGGGACACTATGGCAAGTCTCTTTATTACACTGCACTACAGTAACAGAAAGGACAAGCCAAGTTTTAGGGTACTTTCAGACCAAACGTGAGGCGATCATTGGCTGTGGCACGATTAGATTATATTAACTTTTTACTTGTAATTTTTGAGATTAAAATGTTGATTAATCTTCACCCGCACTTCTCAGCATTGAGCCACTGTGTTTCCAACTTCCACTGTGGTTGTTAGCTTCAGTGGGCCCCTACAGCTCTGTGATACTGCTAATTTCAGAAAATAGGTGTCTGTTACTTTATTCCAGCTATAATTTTACTTCACTGTGAATAAGTTAGCATAGCACAGGCCTGATCGATTCGAAATCCATTCAGAAAACAAACATTTTGTCAAGTTGTTGTCTTGCTGACAGCACGAATTTAATTATCGGCAGCATAATGTAGTTATTTCAGTATCATTTTGATCCATTTATTTCAATTAAATCACAGCAAAATGTTAATTTTGGCTTCATACCGCTGTAGTAAAGCAGGTTGTAACATGTAATCTGTGTTTTACTCGCACTGTTTGGGAACAGCAGGCGAGTATTCCAGCGATCAGAGTCACGCGATGTGAAGATTAAATTTGCGTTGGTCTGAATGCACAATTAGTTAAGTTTCTTCTTGTCCTGGGGTTGACTCTTGGATTTTTCATCCTGCAGGTGCGGCTTTGGGATTTCTCGCGTGGCTGCTGCCTGCTCGTGCTGTCCGGTCACAGCCAGCCTACCTGGGGCTGCTCATTCCACTCGTGTGGTCACTTTCTTGCTTCCTGTTCTGCTGACAGAACCGCCAAGCTGTGGGACCTGAACAGCCAGCGTTGCCGCCTCACATTGCGTCGCCACACTGCCTCTGTCAACAGTGTCTGTTTCCTGCCCATCTCCAACCTCCTCCTCACCTGCTCGGCTGACAAAACCCTCGCCATGTGGGACGCCAGGCTAGGTGTCTGTACCGCTACCTTCTATGGACACCAGCACCCCTGCAACCACACCGCCATCAACCAGGCAGGCAACTTCATGGCCTCCTGTGACTCATGGGGCATAATCAACCTGTGGGACATCAGGAAACCTGCGTTGGCGATGGCCACAGTAGATGCCGGGCCGTTGGCCACCAACCAGGTGGCGTTCAGTCCATCGGGGAAAACACTGGCTGTCGCCAGCAGCGACAGTCTAGTCAGACTGGTGGAGGTGGATTCCTGCGTGGTGAGCAGCATGTCAGGACACAGCGACGCTGTGCAGAGCGTGACGTTCGACCACAGGGGTGAGACTGTGGTGTCAGCAGGGAGTGATGGGGTGATTAACGTCTGGTCGTGACATAACGTGAATGAAACCAGCTGAGAAAGTTTTTGATGATCAGAATTCTTAAATGTTGTTCTCATGTGTTTTTTGAGAGTTTACTTTAAGAAATAAAAAATTTCTTTAAAAAAACAAACGTTTCCATTGAACAAAAGAAGCCACCTCAAGTCATAGTTTGTGAAGATGAAACTTCATATTATCATCTGGTTGCAGCTGTTTACATTCACCCCAGATGCAAATTCAAAAAATGCACTGTGAAATGTTTGGGACGTATGCGTGTATGTGTTCTTCTCTCAAATATTGTTCACAAATCTGTGAAAAATCTGTGTTAGTGAGCACTTCTCCTTTGCAGAGATAATCCATCCACCTCACAGGTGTAGCATATCAAGATGCTGATCAGACAGCATGGGGACTGCACAGGTGTGCCTTAGGCTGGCCACAATAAAAGGCCACTCCAAAATGTGCAGTTCCATCACACAGCACAACGCCACAGATGTTGCAAGTTTTGAGGGAGCGTGCCGTTGGCATGCTGTCTGCAGGAATGTCCACCAGAGCTGTTGCCCGTGAATTGAATGTTAATTTCTCTACCATAAGCCATTTCAGAGAATTTGGCTGTACATCCAACTGGCCTCACAACCACGTGTAAACACAACAGCCCAGGACCTCCACATCCAGCATCTTCACCCCCAAGATCGTCTGAGACCAGCCACCAGTAGTGAAGGCAGGTAGAGTGGTCTAGCCTGGGAACAGATACATCTGACCCATGGATATACAGTTGAGGCCAAAATTATTAGCCCCCCTTATGAAATTATACACAACTCTTGATTTCTCCATGGAAATTACTATTAACAACAAGTGTTTATAGTGTATTTGTTTCCTATGTAACAAAGACTACATGTCCACTAAGTTTGTCTATGAAGATTCTCAGTCATCCAGGTCATAGTTATCCAACGAAGGTTAAAGTCAAGGGCAACTGGACTTGGTTGAAGATACTGGAAGACGTTTCGTCCCTCATCCAAAGGACTTCTTCAGTTCTGACTGACTGGCAGGGAAACTCAGCTATTTAACCTCAGTGGGGTCGTTGGCCCGGGTCATCGATACCGCTGGCCCCCAGGCCATTAATAGTCAGTAGTGTACCCTGAGCCACAACTAACAATAACCTCTTAGAGTAGTTCTTTACTAGGTTGGCACAGGTCTCCTGAGGGAGTTTGGCCCATTCTTCCATTGCAGATTGTTCCAGCTGGTCCAAATTGCGTGGTTTCCGAGCATGGACATTCACTTTGAGCACCCGCCACATATTCTCAATAGGATTGAGGTCTGGGCTCTGTGCGGGCCACTCCAGGACCTTGGTATTGGTATCCTTCAAGAAGTGTTGGACCAATTTCGATGTATGCTTTGGGTCATTGTCTTGTTGGAAGACCCAGCGACAACCTAAGGATAGACTATGAGCAGATTTCTGCGTATATGATGCCATGCACCCGAACAAGGCTCCCTGTGCCTGAGGCTGCAAAACAGCCCCACAGCATGATGCTCACACCACCATGGTTAACTGTGGGAACTGTGTTCATAGGGTTGAAGGCCTCTCCCTTTCTTCACCAAACATAAGCAACATCCATGTGCCCAAACAGTTCCAGTTTAGTCTCATCAGACCAAAGCACAGACTTCCAAAACTCATCTTTACCTTTCAAATGTTCACGGGCAAACCTCAGCCTGAAACATCAACTCCAGAAGAGGCCAGGTCAGCAACAATCATCTTGGCAGATCTCCTTGCTGACATCTCTGACTATTTTCCTCTCCAGAGTTCTTGAAATCTTGCGCTTACGACCACGCCCAGGTTTGTTTCTTACAGAATTTGTCTCCTTGTAGTTGGCAATGACGCAACGTACAGCAGTTCTAGACACTGTGAAATGCTTGGAAATGGCAGTATAGCCTTCCCCCCCTTATCATGAGCCTTCACTATCGTCTTTCTGAGATCAAGACTGATTTCCTTTGTCTTTGGCATGGTGAGCAAAAGTAGTCTTTTCTCTTAATAATGTGTCCAAGTGCTCTGTTCCTTGTAGTCCCTTTATGCTGATTGAATGCTCAGGTGTTGTTTGAAAGCTGATTGGTTAATTAGGTGTGTTTTGAAAGCAAAAATTCACATGGGGGCTAAAATTTTCACTGTATTTGATATAAAGCAAGCCTAAAAATGTATTTTATATTCCAAAATGTACCAAAAGCTACAAAATAGCATTGGTGAAGTGGTTGTTGCAGTGGTGCAAACATTTGGATAAATTTTATTCCTGTGGGGCTAATAATTTTGGCCTCAACTGTACAAGATCTTGTTGAATGATCCAACATACCCCAGAAGTAAAAGCTACAAACTTTTAGGGAGTATGTGCCAGAGCAATTCTCACTGGACTGTATTAAGCCCCAGGAAGTCAGCTGTGATTTGAAGCAAATTTTACATACTGTAGTGGCCAAACCGTATAACTACCACTTCCAGGTCTGGCACGTGATGCAAACTGGCCCAAAAAGTGAAAAAAGCAGCTGTTAAACTCTGGATACAACCCCCGTGAAATGACTCGTTTCACTATCAAAATGTTATCCATTCGGTCCAGTAACTTTGGAAAGTTGTATCCAGATTTGATGACACCCCTTTAGCATTCATAATGAACTGAGAGGTTCCAGACAAATACAGTACACATTTGCGGATCAGTCTGGTGATTATCCTTAATAAAATTCAAAATGAGCTGAGAACATGATGATATTGAGAGATGGTTTAATGTGAGCGGTTTGAGAACAAACCAGCCCAGAGCAGCAGGAGACAAGCCTGTTACATAGAAATAAAAACACTTGATGTTAAACATTCAAAACGAGTATCTTTTCATGTTCAGGTCACCTGTCTGCCTGAACACTGATTTGGCACTTGAATGGTTCCAAATGTGAAGCAAGACAGAAAACAATGTCTGTCTTCATCAGTTGAGACATAAGGGAATCAAAATACTTAAGGAGTTTCTTGTCCAAATCAGCAAAGGAAACCTGCGATGATCTTACCACCAATAGATGAAATAGTTTGTCCTGACGATGGAGCCAAAGGGACCAAACCGTGTAAATACTGTGCACATTCTATAGAAAACTATATCCATTAAATGTCGATTTAATGTCCTTGAATAACAGACTTGTCCATGTTTCAGGTAGTTCTGTATTATTAAGCTCCAGGTTGAACCTATGCTTTTTAGAATTTCACTCAAATTTTGAATTGGATGTTGTTGAGAACAGTTTCTACAAACTGGAAAGTTGTAATCACAGTAACTCCCAGACGATGTTAACGCAGTATTATCCTCTGAGCTGTGGCCATTTTAGGACATGTCAGCTTGTCTGGCTCAGCTCCCAACACCGTCTATCCTGCCTCAGCGTTCCTCAGGCTTAGCTGCACTCTGTCAGGTTCATCTGTACTGAGTTGAACTTAATGCTAAGTGGTAACGTGATAATTATAGCAACTTATCATGCCAACAGTTAGTAGGGCGGGTTATTGTTTGGAAACTTTGGACATTGGTACCAGTACAATACGTGAGTTTCTGCACAAATACCAAAAATAAATTTTTTCTATACTTAAGTTTGTGAAATAAAAACATTTTAACCTATTTTTTTCTTATAAAAAATATGCCATATTGCTCATTGCATCAGTGTTGAATAAAGAACTTATTCTAAATAAATAAGTTGCCTAAATAAGTTATGGTACATAGTTACAAAAGTTTACTTATTTAGAGGTTTGGCACGGGACATGTTTAGCATGGGGATATGCTAAATATTTCGCATTATAATAACACTGGCATGTTGAAATGCTAATGTAAGCATGTTAATGTGGCAACAGTTATGGTCGACATGTTAACGTTAGCACTTTAAATGGTCCAGTTAGCATGCTAACGTCAATGATTGTTAACAAGTTACATGTGAAATGTGATAAACTAAAATGAAGCAGGTTAACATGCTACCACATTTTAACAGATGCTTGAAGTACGTAGAATGATGATGACATCTGGTCATTTCCTCTGTCAGTTTGAGACGGACTGTCCTTAACATCGCTGAGACGCAGCACAGCTTCATTCTCATCTGGCATTTAAAGAGCAACGTTGTGACATTAAGAGAAATCCTCTTCTTTCTCCGTCTTCCAGAGTCAGACGAGAAGACGGATAACAGGTTCATCTCTGTGTCCAATACAGAGAGAGGTCCTGGACATTTGAGCTTAGAAACCATCCTCCCATCTGAATCTGACCTTTTGGGAAATCCTCTCGTCTGACATTTTCCCAGACTGTCCCACAGCTTCTTTCACTGTAATACTTCACAGAACTTCAACACACATTTCAGACGTTCAGACAAACTGGAACTTTTTATCTAAAATACAAATCCAGAACAGACTTCATCCAGATTCATCAACACCGTTTGCCATTTCCTGTTGCCACTGGACGTGACAGGAAACAGTCAGAAGGGGACAGTGAAGCTGACAGGAAGTCCCTCTCTCTGATTAACAGGCCTTCATCTTTAAGTGGGTTTCTGCTGAGCGCAGATGAGTCGGTCAGCAGATGAAGAGGAGTAGCGTCCTTCATCTTCGTCCTTCTCCCCATCTTCCGCTCTGTGTTTCTGTCTGGGTTCTTCCACCAGCACCTTCAGACGGCTCAGGTGATGCAGAGCCCTGAGGTTGGAAACATACATCAAAGACACAGCTTAACATCACAGGTAATTACCTGAGTTACCGCGCCATCCCTACGTCCACGCTACATAGGGAGCTGCAGCTACACAGTAACTCTGTTAATCGTGAAGTGAGAAATCTGATGTGTGATGTGAGCGTCAGTTACCTCTGTAGTGACGGTCCACCAGGAAACGTCTCCAGCTCTGCTTCACCTTCAGGCCTCTGCAACACAAACACATCTCCTTATAACCTGAGACGCGTTCACATTCCCTGCATACAAAACATGTAACAATTCAGAGTTCTCCCTGACCACACAGCTGATGTTGACAGCAGAGTCCTGAGATGTGTTCAGGAACTCGGTCTGAATAATGAATGGATAAAATAAACCCGATTTAGTGTTTGTTAGACCTCAAGCACGAGCTCTATTTTCCAGTAGCACAGAGTGTGTTATGTGTCTGTG